AGAGTCTTCACTTTTGTGGCATTGAGTGACATGCCCATATGGCTAAACAGTCAGTAATAGCTGCCAAGGAAGAAAAAAAAAAACAAATAAAACTAAGGAGCACAGGGTGGGAGGAAGACGTTGCTATTTTGTCTTCAGAATCACCAGGGACCTCACTAAGAAAGTGACTGTTAGGCCAAGACAGGAAAGAGAGAGACATGTGACTCTCTGTCGGACAAACACTCCAGACAGGATAGCATGTGCAAAGACCCTGGGGTAGGAGCATTTGGCAGGCTTAGGTATCACAAAGAGGTGGGCATGGCTGCTGCAGCTTGAGCAAAGGGATCATAGGAGTATAAGATGGAAGAGGAAGCCAGAGCCCAGGTAGACACTTCAGCTCAAACGTGAATAAAATGAGACGCAACTGAAGGCTTCCAAACAGGGCTCAACAGTCTGAGAATAACCGGGAGAGAGTGGTACCCGGAGGACCACAGGAAGCCAGCATCTCCAGAGAGGTGGGCACTCCTTTTTTATATGCTGCTACGAGGACAGTGAGCCTTGGAAAGGACCACTGGATTTAACAGAACGGGAAGCGGGAGTGAGGCGGTAAGAGAAACACTGGAACAGAAACATCTGATTAGAGAGGAAGGGGGGCATGTGTATGCATGTGGGTTGTATAGGTGCACACACATGTGAAGGCCAGAGGTTGACACCAAGTGCTTCCCCTTATCACTTCCTATCCTGTTTGTTTGGTTGTTGGTTTTTTCAAAAAAAAAAAATAGCATTATGAAATTTGCAAGCAAATGGATGGGACTAGAAAAAAAATCATCCTGAGTGAGGTAACTTAGACCCACAAAGACAAACATGCTATGTTCTCACTCATAAGTGGACATTAACTATAAAGTAAAGGAGAATCAGACTACAACTCACAGATCCAGAGAGGCTAAGTAACAAGAAAAGCTCAAGGGGGAATGCATGGAGCCTAGGATAATCGTCATCAGAGAGGCTCCACCCATCCCATGGGAGCAGATGCGGGGACCCACAGCCAAGCATTAGGCGGAGCTTGGGAAATCCTGTGGAAGAGGGGACGAAGGCTTATAGGAGCAAGAAAACCCATAGAATCAACTAACCTGGGCTCATATGGTCAGAGCTGGAAGTGAGATCTGTGCTTCCCCTGGGTGACCTTGGGCAAACGAGTCTTTCTAAGATATATCCTGAACAGGCGGGAATATCCCCTGCCCCTTGAGGATCCTATGAGGGTTCGTGCAAGTGTCAGCACTCAGCTCCCCGCATAGAAGGGCTACCTGAGGACGTAGCCACACTTACTAGCCAATCAGCACTGTAAATCATCCAGGGGGACACTAGCCCATCCAAAGCATCTCCTCCAGGCACCAAGCCATGGTGCCCCTGGCCACCTCAGCATCCACACTTCTTGCTCTCAGTCTAAAGCCAGGAACTTAATAAGTCAAGACACAGCTCAAGGATAAATTAATTGTTCTTTCCAGGCACTTAGTTCATCTATAACAAATGAAGCCTTCCACTTCCTGCAAGACAGAACACTTTATAAAACCATGCATATATCATAGTTTCCATTTTTGAAATAATCTTTTACTTACAGAAAATTACAACAAGCAGTGCTACAAAGAAAGCTCACTATCCTTCACTCGCCTTCTGCTGATGTTTCCTCCAACCTCCCATGACCGTAATACAGTTGCCCAAACCAAGAAGACATCATTGACAAATTACTGTTTACTGTTTAAGTTACTCCTCCATGGGCCTTGCTCCAATGTTGCCAGCTTTCATCTTGTGCCCCTTTTATGATTCTGGATCCAGTCCAGAGTCCAATATCAAAATTTTTCTCAAATCTCTACTGGTTTGAGACAGTTTCTCCAAGTTTGTTTGTCTTTTGTGATTCTCTTTGTTGGAGTTTCTATTGTTGTAAAGAGACACCATGGCCACAGCATCTCTTATAAAGGAAAACATTTAATTGTGCCGGCTCACTTAGAGTTCAGAGGTTCAGTCCATTATCATCATGGCAGGAAGCAAGGCAGCATATAGGCAGACAAGGTGTTGGAGAAGAAGCTGAGCATTCTTACATCTCAACTCACAGGCAACAGGAAGTGGTCTGAGACACTGGGCAGTATCTTGAGCATATAAGACCTCAAAGCCTGTGTCCACAGTGACACACTTCCTCCAACAAAGCCACACCTCCTAATAGTGCCACTCCCTTTGGGGGCCATTTTCTTTCAAACCACCACAGTGACCGTGGCATCTGTGACGAGGACTGACTGACTGGCCAGGCATTTTGATTTAGATTTGTCTGATCTTTACTCATGTTTAGACTGAACTTGTGCGTTTTGGATAAAATCCCCCAGAAATGATGTTTGGCCTGCTCAGTGCATCACAATTGGAAACTCGTGTTGATGAATCTCAGAGCTGCTGATAAAACCTTTGACTAGAAAAAGTGAGTGAGGAGAGCACGGCGGCGGCGTAGCCATCGCTGAGGAGAGAGCGAGGCCCGAGCTTCCGCATCGAGATTTGGTGGCTGAGGAAGGGACCCAGAGACTCCTTGAACAACAAAACGAAGGCAAGTCAAAATGGTTTCAATCCCAGAATACTATGAAGGCAAGAATATCCTCCTCACAGGAGCTACTGGTTTCTTAGGGAAGGTGCTTCTGGAAAAGTTGCTGAGATCTTGTCCTAAGGTGAATTCAGTCTATGTTTTGGTGAGACAGAAAGCTGGACAGACACCGCAAGAGCGTGTGGAAGAAATCCTTAGTGGCAAGGTAAATGTGGAGGATGATAATTTGGAAGGGGACAGAGGTATATGCTTGTGTATGAAATTCGTGAAGCATTAAATTAGATGCATAGTGTATACATATTGTTTCTGTATCCCCACCCCCCATAAAGAAAATTGTAGAGAAATTGCTAAGTTCCTGCAGTATGGCAGTGAACTAGAGTGAGGAGAAGAAAACAGCTTTCTTTTATGCTAGACCAAATTTTCTAATAAGGTCTAAACTACTGTTATGATTGATATTTCAAGTATGCAACAACCAAACAGAACTACGCAGTAGCCAAATCCAGTTGATGTTTCTTTCTAAAATGTATGTTTTTTCATCCTGTGCAAGAACACGCTTTTACATTGAAATTTCTCTCTCACTTTTGTCCCCATCACTCACCTGTATGCCTACATGTTCTGTTGCTCCTTCAGGTCTCTGATTCAGTGTCATTTCCTCCAAGAACTTTCTGTAACTCCTAACTCCAGGGGATACCACATCCTCTTCTGGCCTCTGTGGGTACTGCACTCAGGTGTACAGATACCTACACATATAATTAAACAGTCTTTAAAATCTTTTACAAGAGTCAAACAATTAACTGGCAGTGTTGGAGAGTGAGGCTATCTTTGTCCAGATGTCTTCTGTTTCTTAAGCCTGTTCTGAGGCATAAGGCAATCTGAGGAGCCAGCTTGAACTCTCTGAGTCTCGACTTTATGTCTGGAAGACGAGCAATCTTTCATTCTGTGCCTCATGAAATTTAAAATAGCTTTCCTTGATGGGGAAAGAGTTTATAATAGATTTTGGGAAGTGGAAAACACTATCCTAGAATAAATATATTCCTATTTGATAGCTTTTTGACAGGTTGAGAGATGAAAATTCAGATTTTAGAGAGAAAATTATACCAATCAACAGTGAACTCACCCAACCTAAACTCGCTCTCAGTGAAGAAGATAAGGAGGTCATTATAGAATCTACCAATATCATATTCCACTGTGCAGCTACTGTAAGATTTAATGAAAATTTAAGGTAAGTACAAATACTTATTAACATTGAATTACATATGTTACAGATATAATTTTAATTCGACTTTTTAGTGAGCTTGTTTTGAAAATGTTATGAAACTGTCATATGTTAATAGTGACTGTCGGTGTTTTATTGAAGTTAGTAAAATTCTTTTATAATCATTTTGAAAATAAAAGACAGCTAGTATATGCTGACTATAAAACCTTGCCATGACTTTATAAAATAGGACAGAGGTAACGGACTAGAAGAGAGCAGAGTGTACTTGATAAGAAGCAGGAAGAGTTACTCAGCTGTGTTGGTTACCTCTTTGTGAATTGTTGTCAGACTCTTCTACACCAGCAGCTGTTTGTTTCCACTCTTCACTATGTATTCTAGAACATAATCAAAATTAAGTTCAGGTTTTGCATGCTAAGAAGTGACTTTTGACACTTCGTTTATATTTCAAAAACTCTGCTTTGGTGTCATTGTTAAGACACAAGGTAACATCAGAAATTTAATTTGAAACCAAATTTGAACTTCAGGATACATCCTGCTTCTAGTTAAACACACACACACACACACACACACACACACACACACACACAAAACCAACATTTTAAGTGATCAGTATTTTAAAAATAAAATAAAGGGCTTGAAAGATGGCTCAATGGTTAAGAGTATCGACTGATCTTCCAGAGGACCTGGGTTGATTTCCAACACCCACATGATGTCTTACAGCCATCTGTAGCTCATTATAGGGATTGGCTGTCCTCATCTGGTGTCCATTCATACTGGACACATATGTGGTACACAGACATATATGCAGGCAAAACATCCATACACATGCGCTAAAAATAAATAAATCTTTTTTGAAAAATAAATGAATATATACTTCAAATAATAGAATTTAATTCATAACACCATTATTTTTGATGGTGTGTCTAAAAGTACAATTTTATGTTAATTTTATTATATAGTCTTACACTAGTTTAAACGATAAAGCATTTGTTTTGGGGGTTCAGAACTCTCTGTGAAACCCTTCTCTTTAAAATGTTCAAAAAGTTAAGCTCTGGGAATAATTCTCATATTTTTTGAACATAAAAGTGTTAACTATTACATGATTATATTGTGTGAGAGCATAATGCCAAGCGTTTGGGTGTGTGAAGATACGATCACTGCCTCTTATAGTTCCGGGGTTGTGCTTTACAGTCTTCAAAACATGCTCATTTGTTCCTTCTGTCATAACCTTACCCAGCTTGTCCTGGGCAAATCCATTTTATTCCTGAGGCATCTGAGGCAACACCATAGAGAAAACGGAAAAAAATTTGGAGTAACACACTTTAGTTCTAGTCTTGACCTCATTGTTTATTAACTGAAGAGTTTGGACAATTATTAACCTTCTTGAATTTGAGTTTGCTTATCTGTAAATTGGCACTTCTCAGAAGACTTTTTCTGATGGATTATTTTACCTCTCAACCACAGAGTATCAGTCTGTAAGCCATTGCTTTATCACTCTCTTTTAATTCTTTTGTAAGCCAGCAGGTGAGACACTCAGGGACTGTCATGTGTTTAGAATCCAGAAGTAACAAAATAATATCATAATCAGTGTAGTATAATCTCACTTTATTAGATAGATATGCATCATGTGTATTAGGCATATATGTTTTTCTATATTGATGGTAATTGTTTTTAATTTTATGTGACTATTATTATTCCCACCATAAACATATGTTATTCTTCAAATAAAGACAAATAATATTGAAAATATATGTAAAGCAATACGTTCCATCTTAAAGAAATTTGTACCTTCATCAGTAAGAAAATTTTTTTATAATTAATTTTTTTTAATTTCATATATGTGTGCTGTATTTACATTATTTCCCTCTTGTTCTCCCACCAGCCCCTCTTCTCAAATTCATAGCCTCAGCAGAAGGGATAATAAATACATATGTACATATATGAATAAATACATAAAAACAACTTGCCAAGTCCATTTAGTGTTGCTCATATTGTATATATTTTTAGGATTTACCAGTTTGTATTGGATAACCAGTTTGGGGCTCTTGCTGGGAAAGACCAGTTCTCTCTCTTTCTTAGCTGTCATGATAGGACTCTTAGGTTTCCCCCATGGCATGTTAGCTGGTATTTTGTTCAGCCATATCACTGAGATTTCATGGGTACAACTTTCTTCTCATATATGGAAGGCATAATCTCATAGCAGACTTCCTGGTCCTCTCTTAGAATTTTTTTGCCCCTCTTTGGTGATGCTCCCTGAACCTTATGTGTAAGAGTTGATCAGAGATTGTCATTTGGGCCCTAAGCCCTGAAAATGCCTTGTTTTTAACATTTGAAATTTTCCCTTCCTTGTATATTTGCATATAAGTCTAACATGGTACTTTAAATAGTATTTTCAAGATTATGAATATAGTCCCTGATATTTGTTTGAAACAGGCTATGGTATCCCAGGCTAACCTTAATATTATGCTCTTTCTGCCTCAGCTTCCCAAGTGCTGGTATTACAGGCATATACTACTTTGCTTGTTTGTTACTGAATTTTAGTGGATGCTTTATTTTTCCTTAGAATTCATTACTATACAATGACATATTTTCCCCTAATAGTTCATGCTTTAATTATTTTCTTATTATAATCAAAAGAAATCATTTGTGTTTTCAGGGACTGGTGTATAATACTAATATACTAGTTGTGGTATAGTTCTCATTGACTTAAAGGGGGAAATTGGGTGTTTTTAAGGGGAATTTTATTAACAGAAAACATTAATTAGGATAAAACACATCAAAGAAACCTTTACCAGAAGGATCACAGTATATTACTTTTGTATTCTCCTTGGATTTATCATTAATGATAAGGATTTTTTTCATTATTACAATTTCTTATACTAGACAGACCATATTGGAAAGTCTAGATAATTTATTGTTAACTATCCCTTTGTTAAGCCATGAATGTTTACTGTTCTAGTTCTAGTCTCTACATCATAACTATTTCTGTGAAGCAAATCTAGTGTATGTTGATGTGTAAATATTAGTAGAACATTAGATTTGGGCCAGATGTTCAGAAATACTGGAAATAGCCTGAAATAGCCACCTAGGGGAAAACCATGTATAACTATAATCATTATCATCTGTTAAGCCACAGATATCACATGGTATAATTATTACTTCTGAGGGGATGCAGGAGGAGGAGAGTCACCATAACATTGTGCCTAATGCTTTGGGGTGGAACCAAGGTAAATTTGGATGTGCACCCTTTCATAAAGCCCTGGGGCATGTGCAAACTATGTTGATACAGGCCTAAATGCAGATAGTACTGAACACATCTGTTGAGTGCTGAGGAGGCAAAGTTCATTAGTTTTCAGACATGTTTTTGAAATATTGAACTGGGGAGAAATTGACAGGAATAAAGAGGTGAGAAAGGAGGAGTAAGTAATTGTGTAAGTAGTTGGTTATTCACTAGGCGGGACAGTATCAGTTGTGTATAGAGAAGAATATCAAGAGGCCAGAGGCTATCATGGGGTCAAAAACAGTCAGAAAAGAGGGAATAAACAGATTGTTTGGGGAACAGGCATGGATTTCAGCAATGGAGCAGTTCTAGATGATGAGGCCCTAGGGGAAGGTATGGAGTTGGTTTTCCAAAAGGAGTGGAAGTACAGATTAAGATAAAGGAATGGTACAGTCCTTAGACTTAAGGAAGGGCCAGTGGTGAATCCTGGTGCTTGTGTGGGCACTTTGTGGTGATAGCTTTTTTTCTAGTTCTGTCTCTGCTGTGAACTTTTTATACGTGCTCCTGTAGGGAAAGCTGCCTTTAATAAATATATTATCTGCCTTTTTCCACCTCCAAAGAAAAGAAAAAAAGAGAAAATAAAACTATAATAACTGGAAACATATTTTAAAATGTAGATTTCTTGATTGTACTTGACCCTGCCTGTCTTAAGATTTACTATTTCATAAAGCAAAACTTGAGAACTTTATTTCATTTTTCTTACTTTCTGGTCTAGCATGTAAGGGACTCAGTCTGAAGTTCAACAGAATAAAACTAGTGTCTCTATTGAGGTTAAAAGTAGCCTTGCAGATATTGTTTTAGTATGTCTGCAGGTTTGGGCTCTCAGGTACAAATAGAGTGGAGAGACTAAAGGCACAGAAGTGTGCCTCCTGAGTTATTCCTCACTTCAGTGACCTAGAATCTGTCACTATCCTCAGGACAGTGCAACAGAATACCCCTTGTGTCCTTTTTTCAAAACATCTCTCTCCCTATCCCCATTGTTTTGTAAATGTGAAAGAAAATAATGCATTCTCAATGCTCTAGTGGATAGTATCCTCTCTGTGAAAGGTCTTTTGCTAGATTTCAATTTGAACAGATGTTTTTTTCTCCTTAGTTGAGATTTGGGAAGATCATAAGACCCCTACCTTAGTTTCATTAAAAACATTTTTTTCCTCCATAGAATCTCAGATGTAATTAAAAGAAATAAAGTCTTAAGAGATCTTTATTTATTTAGATTTTCCCTTTTATGAGTTACTCCTTGTTTCTGGTGACCCAGAACTTCTTGTCCTGTCCTCAGGAGCTTGTAATAAAATATTCTCAGTATACCTCTTCTTAAACAATATCCTCCTTGTCCCCGTTCTTTTTAAACAGATAGTTATCAAAGTATTGCTGTACAGTCAGATAGACTGAATTCTACCTGTGACGTATTTTTTCTTAAACACTGACAAAATGAGCATTTTGCAGAGTGCTCAGTGCCATTTTCATTTTTATAAAAAAATTTCACACCTGATGTAATGATACATGTTTGTAATCCCAACATTCAAGAGGTGGAGGTAGGAGGATCATAAAACAGGTTCATCCTAGACAACATAGGGAGTTGGAGTTCCAGGCCAGCCCTGGGCTACATAGCCCTACCTTAAAAAGGCCTCCCCTCAAAGCTCATTGGATCTATGTTTAAGCATGCATTGTTTTTACATAGTTATTAATGTTAATTTAATAATTTCACCTTTTAAATTTAGCATAGAAATAACTTACATGTTTCTAATGTTTTTCATGGTTATACTTTTAGTCACTACGTGATTCTGTAATATTGATACATAACAATTTGTGTAATTTTCACTTGCCATAAAAAATGTTTTTCTTGTTTGAAAAATTAGGCTTTGGGTGACTTTTTGCTCTGAAATTTAGGTTACTAAATTAACAAATGCATACTTCCTGTAATTACTGGCACTTTGTCCTAGTTTCTTTTAGGTCAGTTGTATGAATTTGTAGTTGTAATAAGACTAATAATACTCTATGCCAGTTTTACCACTCAGTAGTGTTGAGTATTTCAACCTGTCTCCATCCCCCTACTTTTATAGTCTGTTTGTTGGTGTATGTGCAGGTGTGTGTACACATGTGTGTGGAAACCAGAGGACAAATTAAGGGTAGGATTCCTTGAATGCTGTTCACTGTTTTTACTTCATTCATTCATTCATTCATTTACTTGTTTATTTGTTTATTTATTTGAGATTGAATGTGTCACTGGTTTGGGACTTACTCTGTATGTTTATCATGCACAATGCATGTGGAATGACTAAAGTATTATGTTTATGACCTCACATAACTTTTCTTGTATTGAGAATGTTTTAAAAATGTATAATTTTCATTATTCTGGTATGTTATTTTTTTAGTTCAATTACTATGTTGTATAATAGACCTTTTGATGGACCATTAAAAAAATGCTACGAATCAAGTTGTATAGAAAAAAACTTTCCACCATTTGCTTATCTTAATACTCACAGGCAGTTTTGAGATGGTGTTAAGAATAGCAGATACTAAATGCTTATAATGCTTACAAGTTATTTTTTTCATTTAGTCGTTCCCAGTTCTGGTGGGAGATTCTATTACTGTTTCATTTACAGGTGAGGAAGCTGAGGGTAGGGTGCTTGTGTAACTTAGCATTTTAGCTAACAAGAAAGCTATACCCGGGTCTGAGCCCAGCCTGATTCTATAGCTTTGTTCATAATCCTGTTTTACATCACAGTGTATGCTTTGTTTTTCAAATCCTATATTGGAGATTATTTTATTATTGGAAGATTCATGCATAGTTATTAAAATTAATGTTCTTCATACTAAAATGAAACACACCAACTCAGAGCTAACAGAGAAATTGCAAATTACCGAAAACCATGTTTCTTTGTCTGTACTTACCTACTGAAATTCAGATTTGGTTTTTAAATACGTTAAAGGGAAAAAAAACACATAGATTTCTAAGTTCTCATTGTCTCTTTCTTTTGCAGAGATGCTGTTCAGTTAAATGTGATTGCTACACGACAGCTTATTCTCCTCGCACAGCAAATGAAGAATCTGGAAGTGTTCATGCATGTGTCAACAGCATATGCCTACTGCAATCGAAAGCATATCGATGAAGTGGTTTATCCTCCCCCTGTAGATCCCAAGAAGCTGATTGATTCTTTAGAGTACGTTTGAATTCATACACATTGCTTTTAGTCTTAAGATTTTGGATTCAAGTTTATCTTTTTTCCCTCTCTCTGTGCTATCTACACACATGTGCATGCATGTATTTATCTCTTACTGTATTCAATAGCTGCTTATTTTCTGCCCAGTACAGGGTTCTGTCTGTTGGTGAGGTAATTGTAGAATTTTCCCTTTGAGTCAGGTAATGATTGGAGGAAGGTCTCTGAATAATTTATCTCTGTGTTAGAAGCTTTGTTTTTTAGGTAGTCATTTCTAGCTCCTATGGAGACCAGAGACCAATGGCTGCTAACCCCAAGGTTCTAAAGAACTCCCTCTCCTGCAATGTACATTACATAAAAAGAGACTTTATTTTTTAGGAGAATCAGAGGAATTGTAGTCCTTTAATTCATACTCCTAGTGTTACCATCTTTCTAAGGACAGGGATTCCTAGCAGCAATTCTTACATGAACAATATTTGTATTTGATAAATGTAGATGATTATGTGAAATGTATATAACACAATCTAGCCTTCAGTTGCTTTTTGGTCTGACTTTCTTACCTTATGAAGAAGTTTTTTTTGGACTACAATTATAGAAGCATTCCAACAGCCATTACATCTTTACATATTTGTTTTCAAACAGTATCTCTATGGGCTTTTTTTCTTACAATGTTTGTTTTTTCTCAGTCCCATCTTTCCTCATAGATAATTCCATTTACTTTTGATTCCCACCATCCCTGAAATAAGCACATGTGACCTTTTAAGAAAGGGTTTTCATGGAAATGGATTGTAAGAAAATCAGTACCATAGATGACTGAGACATTTCTTGTGAGACTCAGTTTCATTGATGTTCTTAAATATATACCTCATTTCATCATAGCTCAATAAAAGTGTTTGTGATTTTGGAGAAAAGTGATGTTAATGAAGCTTATTACTTTTTGGCTTTTTAGTCTTGGCTTATACATGTATCTAAGGAAATGAGAAGACCTTGTAACCTAAATCTTTTTTCTCCTTTCCTGGCTTTCAAAGGAATCTGTCTAGTCTAGTAAATGATTTGTGAACTTGCTGTGTAAACTCAGTAGAAGTAAGGTTTAGTGGCCTGAGTCTTTCTTCAGTGTTTTTATTTGTTTGTTTTTTTGTTTTTAGGTGGGGCAGGGAGCTTATTTTCCCATCTGTCAACTACCTATCCTACCCAGTTTTTAAAACTCAGTCTCTGTTGTAGTTTTTTCTCAAACTGGATAGCTATTTGCCTGTAGTTTAATGTTCTTACTCTTCCACATACACAAAGTACTTCCATATGTGGGAGCATTTTAAGCTTCTCTAGTTATTTTTATCATCAGATTGTAACAATATACAGAATCTATTTGAGTGCTTAGTAGACATAAAGGACAAGTTTCTAGAAACAAGGGCATAGCACCTTAGAGAAAAATAAGGAAAGATGATTGACGTCACCTGTTTGGTCATGGTCCTTTTTACAGGTGATCTTCAGAGATGGTAAGGTCAGTTAAGAGATGACTGAATTGTAGGTTGTTAATTGAATTTTCATAACAGGCTTTAATATTTTTATTATTAATCATAGTATTTGTTAATCTTTATTGGGGATATATAATCCCAGTGATTCATCTTAACTATTTAGATTATTAGACATTTTATATTAAATGTGAATATATGTAAATAGCAAATGTGTATATTTAACCTGTTACTCTATTAGATGGTAATACATATATATGTACTTTCTAATGAAACATTTGAGACACCTGATCTATTTTGGAATTTATTTGGACTTTGGAAAGGAACTCTGACTTAAGTACTATATAATAGTACTTAATTACTTCATTTTCGTTTTTGGTAGCATCCCCGATCAAAGACACACAAAATATTGAATGTTTAAACTGCTTGATAATTTCTAAAGACCCTTAATTGGTTCAGGTCAGTTGAGTTTGCTATCTAAATATGATTTATGAAAGATCTATTGGTTCTTATTTGATATAGGAGTTGGAGATAGTAGACCTATGTTTCATATTTAAAGACACTACCTTTTTTTCCCTGTTAGTAAAAGTTATTGTATGGCACATGCCTTTAATCCCAGCACTTGGAAGGCAGAAGCAGGAGAATTTTTGAGTTCAAGGTGAGCCTGATCTACGGAGCAAGTTTCAGGACATTCAGGCCTACACAGAGAAAACCCTATTTAAAAAAAAAAAAAAAGCAAGAAAAGGGTTATTGTGCAACTGTTTAAATCAGGGCAACAGATAGGTTTGTGCAAAGTTCAATTAAGTAGGTTTTTAATCTGTGATAAAATATTTGGATTTTTTAATGTAATTTCTTTGTTTGCCAGATGGATGGATGATGGCCTAGTAAATGATATCACACCAAAATTGATAGGCGACAGACCTAATACATACATCTACACCAAGGCATTGGCAGAATATGTTGTACAACAAGAAGGAGCAAAGCTAAATGTTGCCATTGTAAGGCCATCGATTGTTGGTGCCAGTTGGAAAGAACCTTTTCCAGTAAGCTCTTTAAAGTTGTTAAGTAATTGGGATTTAGAGTTTTAAGTTCTAACTGTATAAAGAGTAGGCATATGACTTAAGAGTTGTGTTATATGCTGAATGTGCTCTACTGTACAGAGCTGATGAGCATAGAAAAAGATATATTACTCACGCCTTTATCTCTAAGGTGCTTCTGAGTGTATGGAATGTAGAGTAACAGTTTTAATTTCTAGCCAAAAATCAAATCAAAAGTTCTGACATTGTGTCTTCAGTAAAGGAGACCACGATTTCATCTGTTTTCATTGCCAAAAGAAAGTTATGTAAAGTATATCTTTCTATGTGTAGATTACAAAGCTAAGAAAAGCATAAGAGATTTCTTTGGTAACTTGCTACTACTAAGCAGGAAAAAAACAGTGTTAGGATACTTTTAAATCCTTAAAATAAGAGAAGGCAGAAACAAACGCCAGAAAGTAAGCTGATTCAGGAAAAACAAAAACAAAAAGCCCAATGTCTGTATAAATAGCAGTAAGTGATAGCCTGTCTTTTGTTGTTTTGATAATTATTCTGTTTTCTTCTGATTTACTAAGTTTAAGGAACACGTATTATTTTCTCTTAATCAAGATACTGTGTTAATAAATAGTATAAAATCAAAGGTGTACGGGCTTAATTTAGGAAAAGCTATGGAAAGTATACAGTATTTTTTCCCCTTTGTGGAGATTTAGCAGAGGTAGATAATAATTTAAAGATACTTTGGTTTAGTCATTTATTACACTAGAGGAAACTCTTGGGACATTTTTGGGTACTAAGACCACTATTTTTCATGGAATGTAGATCTTTCTTAGGCTTTGGGAGAAAACGACAAAGTGTGTTTGGAGTTAGCACTTTCAAAATATAAATCTACTTTGATAGTAGTTTTAACCTCTTTTTTTTTCCTTCAATTTTTGACATTAGGGATGGATTGATAACTTTAATGGACCAAGTGGTCTCTTCATTGCGGTAAATAAACTTTTTGATTTACTTCTTTGATTAAAAATTCTTGTATCTTTATACTTATGTCTATGTATATGTGTTTTGGCTATGTATCTGAATGTATTGTTTTTAATTTCAAAAAAGGCTGGGAAAGGAATTCTTCGAACAATGCGTGCCTCCAACAATGCCCTTGCAGATCTTGTTCCTGTAGATGTAGTGGTCAACACAAGCCTTGCTGCAGCCTGGTATTCTGGAGTTAATAGGTATATGAGGCAACGATATTGCTTATTAACTGTGGTAACTGAGAGGGAAAAGGAGCTTAATCCCTTAGTCCTGATTGTGTCATGTTAGTAAAGTGTTCTATTAGGATATAGGAAATACCACTGTCTGTTCTAGTTGCTGAGCAGTGGAAGCAGTACCATATGGAACCATCAGTGGTAAGAAAGAATTAATGATTCACAGACTTTACAGGTGTGTGTGGGGGGGGTGGATGGATGGGGGTCCTGAATGATGATTTAAGCCAAACTAAAATAGTATAAACAAGAGATGTTTTTTGTATGTCAACCATGGCACACTAGAGCAGCTGTAATATTCTCTGAGCATCCTTTTATGGTAATAATAGTATTTGTAACTAAAGCCTAAACATTTAAGAAATAATCCCTTAGGGTGCTTTTTGTATAATATAGAATAGGTACCCAGCATCATCATGTCTTCCTGCTTTGATAGTACATAAGACTTAGGATACTTTTGACTTCTCTTATGTTTCTTTGCTTTCATCTTTGTCTTTGCAGACCAAGAAACATCATGGTGTGTAATCGCACAACAGGCAGCACTAATCCTTTCCACTGGGGGGAAGTTGGTATGATTTTATCTATGTTTTTGAATGTTAGAACGTAAAGCATTCACTGACTTTTTTAAATGAGGTATTGGGGCCACTGAGTTACAAAGTTATTCTTATTTTAGTTACTGTTTTAGAATAACTACCAATCCTGCCTTGTGGACACCTTCAATGTTTCACAATGTAAGAATAGCCTGATGTATGTCTCCATTCACCTAGTGAGACCCTAGCTGTTCTCTTGTCATCTGCAACACTCTCATAGACTACCTATGGCTTAAATGAGTACACTCAGGTCTTACGTTGCCAGTCTGTAGGTAATATTTACACCTATAAGAGTAGGTTTATCAGTTGGTCCCCAGAGTTTTAAATGAAGGAGTTAGGAAGTAGGATACTTTTTGCCAGACTACATTCTACCAAAGTAAAAGATCTATAACAAGTAGAACATTTGTTAACTAGCTCTAAAATAGGCTAGTAAAACTTGAAGATGA